AGAGAGCTTAAAAGCTGTTTGGCAATGGTTTCTGGTGCTCTTCATGATGTATATATATATATATATATATATATATATATTTCATACTTAATCCACCAAGTACCAGTAGTGTGAAAAGTGGCAGCTTTGAGGCGTGTTGGATGATGATCCCAGTGCGTAAAATAGGTGGCGCTAGTATGGAATGCGGTTTTGTTGGCCTATCAAAGAAAAACTTTCTCCCCTCACGAACATCAACATCAGTGCGGTGCGACAGGCCTGGAAGTTTATCATTAATCCGTGTGCCAAGGAAAAACTTTGTCCTAGCTGGTTCCAAGAAATTCACCCCCTCGATGACACATTCTACTACGCAGCGTTATTGTTAAACATAACTAGTCCTGAGGTTTCGCAAGGGCATGCTTTTTTAGATATGCCCCGAAGTGGGACACTCCCTTTATGAAGTCCCAGACTATCTTGGTGACCTGAGCAGGGGCACCTAGTTAGCAGACAGCAGTTAGTTGCTCTTGCCAGGCTGTCTTCGACCTCGCATGCAAGCTCGCAGCGTCAATTATCTGGAGCAAGAGCGGTGACAACTGAGTAGTGACAACCATGACCACTGCCTTAACTCTTACTGTACTACTCTACTTACTAGTTGAAAAGTGACAACCATGACAAATACCTTTATTCTTAAAGCCGGGTTTGCTAATCGCGTGCCGTTGCATGTCAAAATGCATGACGCACAGATTGTGTTGACCTGTACGTAAACTCACTTAGGTCAACGTTTGATGTTTCTTAGTCATGAACTTCGGAGTAAATAAGGTTAAAAAGGTCAAATTTTAGGTCGGTCTCCAAAGTGGCCGCAGAATGTAGATAGCTGTTGTAAGCAAAGGTCAAATGCTTATTTAAGGTCGGTGACTCTGTTTCACATTATGGAGACCCTGGTGACCGAAATCATGCAAGACAGCTTTGAGTTTTGCACTTGAATAAGCGGCAAACATTACGCTAGGCAGTGTGTTCCTAACTACAAAATATCGACCTGCGTCGTGTTGGGTCAGTGAGCTATTCTGATCTTTAAGAAGTCCATGTAAAATGCATAATGCGGTTCTTGTTATCAATGAATTCGAAATAATCACCAGAAACTATCATACAGCAAACCATATAGCAATAAGAGATGTTGGTTTTGGCTTCGATCTAACATTCATACCTGACCCTACGTCAATGTAACCTGTTCATTCAATTGTTGCCTTTCCTAAGAAAGTATCTCAGACATGTATGGCTTTGTCTGACACTCCGTTGTTGCATCAGATTCCCTAGACATTTACTTCGCTGAATCCATGGCCTGACTTTGACCTGCTCTACGTCAGTTGACCCTTACAAGCTACATTCAAATGTTTTGATTCCACACGATCCGCTATTCAGTCGTCTACAACTATGCCAAATTGAGCGCGGCTACACCGCGCTGTTCGGAAACCATTTTGGAAAAAACCTTTGGGGGTTGATTTGCCCCAACCTGCAATTTGTTTAACTGCGCTCCAGAGTACGTCACCGTCTGATTTCGTCACGGAACGTATGTGTGACGTCGGAGTCGCTGTCAAATGGCCGTTTAAAAGTTGCCACTGCGACGGGCGCGCTGACTCACTCATAGTACTTCTACACGCTGACAGGCGATTCTGGTATTGGTGCGTGTTTGCCAAACCCTAACATCGTTACATGCACTTACTTTAACCCTTTCCAGTACTTTCTTGCATAATTGTGCTTTTACATTGTTCATCGGCATTCATGTACTCGATTATGACTTCATTCTAAAGTTTTTTCAGTAACCGGTCTTACTTCCGTCATAACTCGTACCACTGCCTACATTCCTGTAAAATATTCAAGAAAACGCGATTTATGTACGAAACTTGCACTCAAACGCATCAAAATGGCCGCAGGTCAGCTGAATAGCCCCTGATGTCACAAATCATGCTTACGCACGCCAGGCACTTCTACTCAGCAGTTCCCACAAAGCCTACCTCTTCCCGCATTCCTGTATTATATCGACCAAAACGTGATTTGTAAGCGAAGCTTGCACTCAAAATGGCTATCACAAGGAAGAATGTTACTAATGCGTAGCGCTCCTTAAATACAGCAGTGTTGGTACTTCAAGAGCAAAAAGTGCGGGTCGGGTATTCAGTTTGAAATACGGGGCTTCGCCATCAGTGTCACGTGAAACGTGTGTTTAAGTTGTTTGCACGTATGAACGCGTTCACAAACGCAAGCGTTTTCAAAAGGCTAGCAAGATGGTACAGAGCTCAAACGAATATCAATACTAAAAATGCTACGGACACCAATAAATCCATACTCACTTTCTTGCGCAGGCAAATGTAAATTCGAAATTGCATCTTGCGATGAAAGACCTTGCATTGGCTGTAAGTGATCGGAAGCGTGGTGTCTTGTAAAGGTGCTGATCGCTTTCCGCTCTCACCTGTAAAGGTGCTCATCGGTCCCGCCTCTCATCTACAGAGGTGCTGATCAGTCTCCGCTCTCATCTGTAGAGATGCTGATTGGACTCCGCTCTCATCTGTAGAAGTGCTGGTCGGTCTCCGCTCTCATCTGTAGAGGTGCTGATCGGTCTCTGCTCTCATGTGTGGAGGTGCTGATCGGTCTTTGCTCATATCTGTAGAGATTTTGATCAGTTTCCACCCCCATTTGAGGAGGTGCTGGTCGGTTTCAACCCTCATCTGTAAAGGTGCTGATCGTCCTCCGCTCTCATCCGTAGAGGTCCTGATCGGTCTTCGTCCTGATCTGTAGAGGTGCTGATCGGTCCCCGCTCTCATCTGTGGATGTACAAAGCGGTTTTCGCTCTCATGCGTGGGCAGATTTCCGTCAATACTTATGGGATAGTGTCTGAACAGCACAATTTACCATAGAAGTTGACACGTTTCCAAACAGAAGCACAATATTAAGCTGAATAGTGTTATAATTTCTAACAATTTCCGAAAGCCATTTGGAAAGCATCACGAACTGAAACACAGTGTGTCCGATGCCTGATTAGAAAAACGATGTCTTAGGTGGCACAATGGCCTTCTACACCCAAATGGCTTCACGTCTCGCATTCATGGCAACCAAAGATGAGCGTTACGATATTCTTGCCAAACGTCCCTCAGGTGCAAGGAAACTAGGGATGTGGCAGCGATCAGGTGCGAGAAAGACAAACAGTGTTGGAAACTGGTGGCGGGGAAAAGCGCGGCGAGGAAACGGGTGGCAAGGAGGGAGAGGGGGGGGGGGGGGGTGGCGTGGCGCTGAAAGCGGTGGCGAGGAAAGGGGAGGCGAGGAAGGAGAGGGGGGGGGGGCGATGAAAGGGGTGGTGATGAAAGGGGGCGGCGAAGAAAGCGGGCGGTGTTGCTAACGTGTAGCGAGGAGAGGGGGCGCCAGAGCCGCCTGGACGGCGGGAAGTAGGGACACCGCGCGCATAAGGCAAGTAACGCCTGACGTCAGACGAGGGCGGCCTCTAGTGGCAGAGCAGCTCCAGCGGAATGCTGGTCATAATGCGCTGGGCGCAGCAGCACACAAACAAGTATCAGACGAGGAGGTGCCCGGTTCAGTTCTAATCACGAAAACCTTGTGATGTCGCCGCCGCGTTCATTTACCGCTGACAACTATTTTATATCAAGACACGCACTGGATTGGTCGTAAGCGTAACCGCGTGATGGGGCTGTCAGAAGCCTGGCTTGTTTGTGCCGGCCCGGCCAGTGCTAGCGGAGATGGGTCATTGACCTACGGCGGGTGACGGAGGGGTACCGGACGGAGGCGAGCTCCCTCCCCACCAGTGGGGCTGACAGTTCACACCCGGGCGTAAGCAGTAAGGCACCATGAGGGCCGTTCTTCCGCTCATCCTCATCCTTCTCACGGTGAGTGGTGAACGTCGGAGGCCGGCTCAAACGTCATGGTTGCCCGCAACAACTTGAACCAGTATACTGAATAGATGGCATTCTTGTTTCGTGCGTAGTTTGTCCCGCACTGCACGTTGTTGCATCGGAAATCATTCGGCAAAATAGCCACCAAGTCAGAACTTGTAAACCTGTCGACGATTTTGTGTGATTACTGCTTCAGCGCTTTTGATTCAGCATCTATCGTTCATACCTCGATACTGCTTGCGGAAGTTACCCTTCCCACTGAGAGGAGTCGCGCATTCTTCTTTGAATCACCCAGGGAGCTCAATGAAGCCTTTGATAAATTTTAGCACAGTAAGATAAATAATATGCGGGGGCATTATTTTCGGGAAACCTAATTGAAGAATATCATGCATGACATAAAACAAAGCGTGTAATGTGCATGCCATTTCACAATAAATCACCAATCATGTAGCAAATGCAAAGCGTTATCTCTGCAGTTTTCAACATGAGCTGACAATTGTCTTGTCTGCCCGTGCGTGCCCGGAAATCATGTGCTCCGTGTTTCACATCCGTCCAACTCCAGTCTTAACACCACTTTGGTCCCGCAAACGGCATTTTTGATGCTGCAGATTAGCTTGGCGTCATCAATTTCCCCTGATCGGAGGGTGGAGGTAGATCATCTGGAGTCGGCTAGTGGTGGCAGCCAAGTTCTGCGACCAGGTGATGGCAGAGAAGACTTGCAGCAAGCAAGTGATGGCAGGGACACTCCACAGTCGGCCAGAGACGGCGCTGAAAATAAATGGCCATCCAGTAATAGCGTCTACGTTCTTCATCAGTCCAATAACGGCAGTGCCGCTCCAAAATCAATGAGCGATGCAGATGACGCCTTACAGTCGGCCAATGACATCGGTGACGTTCCGCAGTCGGCCAGTGACGGAGGTGATACTCCGCAGTCGGCCAGTGACGGCGGTGACGCTCCGCAGTCGGCCAGTGACGGCGATGACGCTCCGCAGTCGGCCAGTGCCGGCAGTGACGCTCCCCAGTCGGGCCAGTGACGGCGGTGACGCTCCGCAGTCGGCCAGTGACGGCGGTGACGCTCCCAGTCGGCCAGTGACGGCGGTGACGCTCCGCAGTCGGCCAGTGACGGCGGTGACGCTCCGCAGTCGGCTGACCTCGCCGGCAGTGGGCGAGGCTGGTTCTGGACCGTGTTCCAGTCGCCACCGTGTCCGCTGAGGTCATGCACCAATGGCCAGCTATGCGTGCTTGGCCGCTGCCTGGAGAGCACCAGTCTTCGCGTCTCGTGCCTCCTGGACGGTGACTGCGCTGCCGGCTACTCTTGTGACGTGCTCGGGCTGGGCACCTGTCGCACGAGCCGGGCCACCGCAACCGTGGACGAGCCGGTGAGCTATCAACAGCTGAATGACCTTTTGCGCAAGCTCCCTGCCCTTGCCAACATTGGTAGTCCTGCTCATGGCTCTTGGCGATTATTAACAGCGACTTGTGTGCTCTGCTCGCTGAGGTGTGGCTTTATGACTGGCGTTTTTCACTTCAACGCGAAGAGATTCATCTCACTAAGACAATTTCCCCCGTCTTGTCTTTTGTCTTTGATTGCCGCCTGCCACAACGATCTTCTTTGTTTCTTGCTAGCTACTCACATGCACAAACCGTGCACATTAAAAGTACAGTAAAAGTAAAGTAAAGCACAGTAAAGTACCCACTTCCGGCACCCTCTCGAAACAGTGTTGACCACAGGCTTCCTTTCGGGATCTCCGTTGCCACACAAACTCATACAGCGCGACCAGCCCGTGTCCCCGTGCCCTGTAGCCAGAATATAGCATCGACAACCAGGAGCGAGTCTAAGCCCTCGAGGAAGATTACCAGGTCCAGGTCAAAGGTAAGGCAGACCATGCCGGTAAGCCCACTGCCGCGGACAGCATTAATTCATGTCAGTTTGGTACTCCCCAGCTGCTGGGATTCCCTGAGAGATCCCATGGGTGAGACCCGGTGGTGGAGAAGCATACTGAATTGGTTGTGTGGCCTGTTCGCAGCACCGACGACTGCCTCTCAATGCGGAGTTGCCGGCGGCCAGCACAGCCGTGGCGCCGTCACAGGGCACCACAGCGCCACCTGTTTTGCGGCGCCACCCGAGCGCCACCGCCGACCGTCCACCGGCGGCACGCGCTGCCCACCTCCACACCGGACTCCTGTGCCTCTCAGGCCGACAGTGCGCGAGCGGCGTCTGCGTACGGCGCGGTCTCGGCGTCTGCCGTCCGACGCCGGCCTGCCAGTGTGCCGACGACCACTACTGTGGCGACGGCGGGGTGTGCACGGTCAGGAAGGAGGCAGGCGCCGTCTGCACGACTGGCGAGCAGTGTCGGTCGGCGCGCTGCGTGCGCACGCCGTCGGGGTCACTGTGCGCCTGCCTCTCATGTGACGAGTGCTCTCCGGGGGATCAGTGTGTGCAATTCGAATGCATTGCTGCCCCGTCTACTGAGATGAACGCGGTTACGGAACTTGTTGTGAAATATCGCTGAATGGTGCAATTTACAATTGCAGCTGACGCGTAACTAAACAGAAGCACGATGTTAAGTTCAATAGTTTTAGAACTTGTAAGTTTTTCCGACGGCTGTTTGGAAAGCATTACAAAATGACACACAGTGTGTGTGATGCATGGTCAGAAAAACGATATGTCTTAGGAGGTGCAATGGCCTTCTAGATCCAAATCGTCTGACATCTCGCATTCATAGCAACCCACGGTGAGCGTTACGATAGTCTTGGCAATCGTCCCTCAGATGGAAGGTGAATGGGTAGATGGCAGCAATCAGGTGAGAGAAAGACGGGCGGTGCTGGAAACGAGTGGCAGGGCATGGGGCGGCGAGGAAAAGGGTGGCAGGGAAAGGGGTGGCGATGAAAGGGGGTGGTGAGGAAAGAGGGCGGTGTTGCTAACGCGTAGCGAGGAGAGGGGGGCGCCAGAGCCGCCTGGGCGGCGAAAAGCAGGCACACTGCTCGCACGAGGCAGGTAGCGTGTGATGTCAGACGAGGGCGGCCTCTAGTGGCAGAGCAGCTCCAGCGCAGTGCTGGTCATGATGCGCTGGGCGCAGCAGCACACAAACAGCTACCAGACGAGGAGGTGCCGGGCTCAGTTCTTATCACGAAAACTCAGTGATGTCGCCGCCGCGTTCATTTACCGCTGACAACTATTTTACATCAAGACACGTACTGGATTGGTCGTAAGCATAACCGCGTGATGGGGCTGTCAGAAGCCTGGCTTGTTTGTGCCGGCCCGGCCTGTGCTGTCGGAGATGGGTCATTGACCTACGGCGGGTGACGGAGGGGTACCGGACGGAGGCGAGCTCCCTCCCCACCAGTGGGGCTGACAGTTCACACCCGGACATAAGCAGTAAGGCACCATGAGGGCCGTTCTTCCGCTCATCCTCATCCTTCTCACGGTGAGTGGTGAACGTCGGAGGCCGGCTCAAACGTCATGGTTGCCCGCAACAACTTGAACCAGTATACTGAATAGATGGCATTCTTGTTTCGTGCGTAGTTCGTCCCGCACTGCACGTTGTTGCATCGGAAATCATTCGGCAAAATAGCCACCAAGTCAGAACTTGTAAACCTGTCGACGATTTTGTGTGATTACTGCTCCAGCGCTTTTGATTCAGCATTTATCGTTCATACCTCGATACTGCTTGCGGAAGTTACCCTTCCCACTGAGAGGAGTCGCACATTCTTCTTTGAATCACCCAGGGAGCTCAATGAAGCCTTTGATAAATTTTAGCACAGTAAGATAAATAATATGCGGGGACATTATTTTCGGGGAACCTTATTGAAGTATATCACGCATGGCATATAACAAATCGTGTAATGTGCATGCCATTTCACAATAAATCACCGATCATGTGGCAAATGCAAAGCATTATCTCTGCAGTTTCCAATATGAGTTGACAATTGTCTTGTCTGCCCGTGCGTGCCCGGAAATCATGTGCTCCGTGATTCACATCCGTCCAACTCCAGTCTCAACACCACTTTGGGTCCCGCAAACGGCGTTTTTGATGCTGCAGATTAGCTTGGCGTCATCAATTTCCGCTGATCAGAGGGTGGAGGTAGATCATCTAGAGTCGGCCAGTGGTGTCAGCCAAGTTCTGCGACCAGGTGATGGCAGAGAAGCTTTGCAGCAAGCAAGTGATGGCAGGGACACTCCACAGTCGGCCAGAGACGGCGCTGAAAATAAATGGCCATCCAGTAATAGCGTCTACGTTCTTCATCAGTCCAATAACGGCAGTGCCGCTCCAAAATCAGTGAGCGATGCAGATGACGCCTTACAGTCGGCCAATGACATCGGTGACGTTCCGCAGTCGGCCAGTGCCGGCGGTGACGCTCCGCAGTCGGCCAGTGACGGCGGTGACGCTCCGCAGTCGGCCAGTGACGGCGGTGACGCTCCGCAGTCGGCCAGTGACGGCGGTGACGCTCCGCAGTCGGCCAGTGACGGCGGTGACGCTCCGCAGTCGGCTGACCTCGCCGGCAGTGGGCGAGGCTGGTTCTGGACCGTGTTCCAGTCGCCACCGTGTCCGCTGAGGTCATGCACCAATGGCCAGCTATGCGTGCTTGGCCGCTGCCTGGAGAGCACCAGTCTTCGCGTCTCGTGCCTCCTGGACGGTGACTGCGCTGCCGGCTACTCTTGTGACGTGCTCGGGCTGGGCACCTGTCGCACGAGCCGGGCCACCGCAACCGTGGACGAGCCGATGAGCTATCAACAGCTGAATGACCTTTTGCGCAAGCTCCCTGCCATTGCCAACATTGGTAGTCCTGCTCATGGCTCTTGGCGATTATTAACAGCGACTTGTGTGCTCTGCTCGCTGAGGTGTGGCTTTATGACTGGCGTTTTTCACTTCAACGCGAAGAGATTCATCTCACTAAGACGATTTCCCCGTCTTGTCTTTTGTCTTTGATTGCCGCCTGCCACAACGATCTTCTTTGTTTCTTGCTAGCTACTCACATGCACAAACCGTGCACATTAAAAGTAAAGTAAAAGTAAAGTAAAGCACAGTAAAGTACCCACTTCCGGCACCCTCTCGAAACAGTGTTGACCACAGGCTTCCTTTCGGGATCTCCGTTGCCACACAAACTCATACAGCGCGACCAGCCCGTGTCCCCGTACCCTGTAGCCAGAATATAGCATCGACAACCAGGAGCGAGTCTAAGCCCTCGAGGAAGATTACCAGGTCCAGGTCAAAGGTAAGGCAGACCATGCCGGTAAGCCCACTGCCGCGGACAGCATTAATTCATGTCAGTTTGGTACTCCCCAGCTGCTGGGATTCCCTGAGAGATCCCATGGGTAAGACCCGGTGGTGGAGAAGCATACTGAATTGGTTGTGTGGCCTGTTTCGCAGCACCGACGACTGCCTCTCAATGCGGAGTTGCCGGCGGCCAGCACAGCCGTGGCGCCGTCACAGGGCACCACAGCGCCACCTGTTTTGCGGCGCCACCCGAGCGCCACCGCCGACCGTCCACCGGCGGCACGCGCTGCCCACCTCCACAACCGGACTCCTGTGCCTCTCAGGCCGACAGTGCGCGAGCGGCGTCTGCGTACGGCGCGGTCTCGGCGTCTGCCGTCCGACGCCGGCCTGCCAGTGTGCCGACGACCACTACTGTGGCGACGGCGGGGTGTGCACGGTCAGGAAGGAGGCAGGCGCCGTCTGCACGACTGGCGAGCAGTGTCGGTCGGCGCGCTGTGTGCGCACGCCGTCGGGCTCACTGTGCGCCTGCCTCTCATGTGACGAGTGGCTCTCCGGGGGGATCAGTGTGTGCAATTCGAATGCATTGCTGCCCCGTCTACTGAGATGGACGCGGTTACGGTACTTGTGAAATATCGCTGAATGGTGCAATTTACAATTGCAGCTGACGCGTAACTAAACAGAAGCACGATGTTAAGTTCAATAGTTTTAGAACTTGTAAGTTTTTCCGACGGCTGTTTGGAAAGCATTACAAAATGACACACAGTGTGTGTGATGCATGGTCAGAAAAACGATATGTCTTAGGAGGGTGCAATGGCCTTCTAGATCCAAATCGTCTGACATCTCGCATTCATAGCAACCCACGGTGAGCGTTACGATAGTCTTGGCAATCGTCCCTCAGATGGAAGGTGAATGGGGAGATGGCAGCAATCAGGTGAGAGAAAGACTGGCGGTGCTGGAAACGAGTGGCAGGGCATGGGGCGGCGAGGAAAAGGGTGGCAGGGAAAGGGGTGGCGATGAAAGGGGGGTGGTGAGGAAAGAGGGCGGTGTTGCTAACGCGTAGCGAGGAGAGGGGGCGCCAGAGCCGCCTGGGCGGCGAAAAGCAGGCACACTGCTCGCACGAGGCAGGTAGCGTGTGATGTCAGACGAGGGCGGCCTCTAGTGGCAGAGCAGCTCCAGCGCAGTGCTGGTCATGATGCGCTGGGCGCAGCAGCACACAAACAGCTACCAGACGAGGAGGTGCCGGGCTCAGTTCTTATCACGAAAACTCAGTGATGTCGCCGCCGCGTTCATTTACCGCTGACAACTATTTTACATCAAGACACGTACTGGATTGGTCGTAAGCATAACCGCGTGATGGGGCTGTCAGAAGCCTGGCTTGTTTGTGCCGGCCCGGCCTGTGCTGTCGGAGATGGGTCATTGACCTACGGCGGGTGACGGAGGGGTACCGGACGGAGGCGAGCTCCCTCCCCACCAGTGGGGCTGACAGTTCACACCCGGGCGTAAGCAGTAAGGCACCATGAGGGCCGTTCTTCCGCTCATCCTCATCCTTCTCACGGTGAGTGGTGAACGTCGGAGGCCGGCTCAAACGTCATGGTTGCCCGCAACAACTTGAACCAGTATACTGAATAGATGGCATTCTTGTTTCGTGCGTAGTTCGTCCCGCACTGCACGTTGTTGCATCGGAAATCATTCGGCAAAATAGCCACCAAGTCAGAACTTGTAAACCTGTCGACGATTTTGTGTGATTACTGCTTCAGCGCTTTTGATTCAGCATCTATCGTTCATACCTCGATACTGCTTGCGGAAGTTACCCTTCCCACTGAGAGGAGTCGCGCATTCTTCTTTGAATCACCCAGGGAGCTCAATGAAGCCTTTGATAAATTTTAGCACAGTAAGATAAATAATATGCGGAGACATTATTTTCGGGAACCTTATTGAAGTAATCACCATGACATATAAACAATCGTGTAATGTGCATGCCATTTCACAATAATCACCGATCATGTAGCAAATGCAAAGCATTATCTCTGCAGTTTCCAATAGAGTGAAAATTGTCTTGTCTGCCCGTGCGTGCTCGGAAAATCATGTGCTCCGTTTATTCACATCCGTCCACTCCAGTCTCAACACCACTTTGTGTACCCGCAAAACTGAATTTGTTTGATGCTGCAATTAGCTTGGCGTCATCAATTTCCGCTGATCAAGGGTTGGAGGTAGATCATCTAGAGTCGGCCCAGGGGTCAGCCAATTCTGCGACCAGGTGATGGGCAGAAGCTTGCAGCAAGCAAGTGATGGCAGGGACACTCCACAGTCGGCCAAGACGGCGCTGAAATAAATGGCCATCCAGTAATAGCGTCACGTTCTTCAGCAGTCCAAATAACGGCAGTGCCGCTCCAAAAATCAGTGAGCGATGCAGATGA